ACAATGGGACATAACACGTACCAGTCTTCTAATATGGCAACTGATGGGCTCCAGACATTACAATAAAATCATCTTGCCATCATGTGGTATATATAGCCTTGGCGAAATTAAATAATTACGCCATTGTTTATGGTTTGTGGATTATACTGTTAACACATTCAATGCCACATGTTAATATGTATTTATTTTATAATATAAGGTGGCAAACGAGCAAGCGGCCACCTGAATCCACCAAAATGAAATTCGACCGCTGACCATAAACATCCGCAATTGACGGAGGAGGAGAGGCACATAAAGAGGACATTTTCCGTTCCGATACGTCTCCTCCACCGTCAAATCCACTTTTCCTTCCCATCCTTTTCTCTTAAACGCGAAATTGCTTCCATTTCACGCCTGTTTTCTGTGTGGTCGTGGTATTACACCGGGGGAGCCACCGTCCCATTCGTGCGAAGATGTTAAAGCGGGCTCTACCACTGTTGAAAAGTCTCTATTATTTAAAGACTTTGGTAAGTTGATAGTATTAAGATGACAATAAGGAATATAAAGAAGGTTAAGTCGGTTCTCGCATATTTTGCTAGGTAAGTTTCTAAACGATAGAATTACAGGAAAACTTGATTTTATCGATTTCATCTTTATAATTCTTACAAATTACCTTAAAGTAAACTTCGACGCCATAAATGAGGAAAAATATAACCACGATGAAAAGAAGCACTGCGTAGCAACCGTTAAAGACGTGCTGGTAGAAACTCTGCAACAAAACATAAATAATTACAAATCCAATAATCGATCCATACGATATAAAAAAAACAGTAGAACCTCGTTAAGTTAAAGTCCAGGGGAAACACAAAATATTTTAAGTTATCAAGGGTCTATGTTGTAGAGGTTTTAGGATCTGATGGAAAGGGAACATAGAGGTTTTTAAGTTACCGAGGTTTGAGTTATCGAGGTTCTACTGTACAATAAAATTAACAACGCAATATTCAAGACAATAATTGTTACCTAGATTATATTTTGCGATATTGCATTTAAAAATCTGATGAACATACTGTTTTAATTTGCAATAACAAGATGTGCTCTATATTTGCTATGTCATAACAATTGTAATTTTGCTAAACAGTACAAAAATTATACATAAGTTGTACAATGATTAACTACTAACTTTCGTCCTCGACTCCGTCCGCGTCAAATTAAAAATAAAAACAAAAGCATGCCTGTGTGTTCTCCCAGGCTGTCCTCTACATCTGTACTAAATTTCATCGAAATCCGCACATTCGTTTAGGCTACAAACTCTAACAAACATCCATCTAAACTTTCGCATTCATATCATATTAGTATGATAGCATGATTAATAACAAGTACAAGTAACTAATAATATATTTAAATCACTTTGTTTTGTCAAGCAATAGTAGTCCTAAAAATATTACTCGTAAGAAAACATCTTTTAATTCGGGCAATAACAATAATAACAAGGTCATATCATGGTCTACAATACACCTACACTGTGTTTAATCCTATTATCGCATCTGTGGTCTATCCTCCTACTAAAATACACAGTCGAGGACGTATATTACCTATCCAGGTAAAATGTTCTTGACGCTCAAATTGCATTTAGCTCGAATATTTGTCACAATGTTTTCTTTAGCCAACTAAAGTCCAACTTTTTGTATTATAAAAATAATTAAATGCCAGCCATATAACTGTCGTTTTGGCACATAAGTGCAAATATTTTAAATCGAGGTTTTGTATGATAAAATAGTTCATTTCAAATATTTAATTATTTGAACAGGATAAGACTAATTTACTTTGAACAATACTAAAGAAGTCTCGAATGGAATAACCAAACAAAAGATTTGTCGCCGTCTTCCACGAGGTTAGGTAAAAACCCCCGCACTATTAACACAACTATGAACAAAAACATCTACGACAGGTTATCAAAGAAATTTAATTTTGCGTTTCTGGTGTTACATCCGTAACACCAGAGGAACCACAGATGTGTTGCCGGCCTTTGAGGAAATGATAGGCTCGCTTCTTGAAAGACCCTAAGTCGTATTGGTTTGGAAATACCGCCGAGGATAGACCGTTCCACAACGCGGCTGTGCGGGGCAGAAAGTTCCGCGAAAACCGCACGGTTGTGGAATGCCAGCCATCGAGATGGTGAGGATGGAACCTGGTGTTCTGTCGTGTCGTCCGATGACGAAACTCGTAATCACGTTTACTGTTGTACTGATATTGTTGTTTCTCTATCATGTAAACATATAATTGGGACAAATTCTTTACATGTTACTTATTGTATTTTGTAACCCTCTTAGTTTTTTAACAAATAAATAACAACCCCACCACTGTGACACTTGTTCTGCATCTCTTTCACATTCTTAGACACAACAGAAAACAAAACAATCAACACAATTACTACAGTCGAAACAGTTTAGTATTATCAAACAAAAATCTCAACAACACATCTCTCTCAACACATGTCCATTCCAAGGACGCGTCTTAGTAAATAATTACCGGTAATTAACCCATGCCATTGTCACATTCCTTTAACGGATTTGTCTCTAAACACTGATAAATAGAAGTTTCTAGAATAAAGCATGTTATCAGGAATAAATAAGCCTTTTTGGTTTATCAGTTTACTAAAAATTGTGAGAAGAAGAGGAGTTTGGTTGTCTAGCACATACATATATTGTATTGTACGCAGAATACCACTTAGCGTTTATTTGTGTGGTCGTGGTTTACCGCCAAGCTAATCAATCTATACTAATATTATAAAGAGGAATTTTATTTGGGTATCTATTGAAATAACTCAAAAACTACTGAACCGATTTCAGAAATTCTTTTACCATTAAGTAACTAAGGCTACATTTTTCTAATTTAACGCAGACAAAGTTACAAGCAACTGCTAGTTTGTCATATTATCCTGTAAGTCGTCATATCAGAATTCACTCCCTTAAGCATATCCTCTTTCACAACCATCCATACTCTCTTCGATCTCCCTCTATATGAGTAAATCTTTTTTTTTTAAATTAGTTAAATAGACTAAGTTAACTCTCTTACCTTTTTCTCAGCGGTTGTATTAGCTATATTCGTGGTGAGTACTTCTGCTGCTAGAAGTGAGTAGCTGATGACATTAAAGGTGACGAAGGCCAGGAAAGACTTGGAGAGGAACCGAGGACGCTCCCAGCGGATGTCTCGAAGATGGAACACCTATGGACAAATATACATGTTTATAGTATAATCAAGAATAAAAAGAACAACGAATCGTAACTATGACACTTATGGCCGATTTCTCAGCTACTTTTAACCATTCATTACTATTTCTGGTTCGATAACTCATTTCACATTCATGAAATGCCTTTTCGAACCACGTAAGTAGAGTTTAAGTACTTTGAAACTTAGTTCAACTCATAAAATTTATTCTTACCCATTTATTTTATTATTACCTAATAATTTATC